GTTTATGAGTAATGAAAGGTAATTTTAAATCAATCTTATCAGATAATTATTTTGAACTAAAATAAGCCTCAGTCCACTTAGCTTCTAGTGCCGATGGTCTACTCCTTAGCACTATCGATTTCATAATACATACTTTGATCCCATATGCATGATTAGAAAATAAAGTAAGAATGAAGCACGCATGTATGGGCATCCTATACATGTCTCTACTACAATTAGAACCTTTTTCAAATACCAAGACATCCAGGAAAGCAAAGTTATCATCCTTTTCTAACTCCAATGTATATTTAGTTACTCCATCTAACCTATTCATTATATACAGAAAGTCATTTCATTTGTCTTTGCCATGCTGTCAAACAGCAAAGTCCTAGTTAGTACATCTAACTTCTAGCTTAGGAACTAAGAGTACTTCCTGAATTAAACGAACCTATAATTGGGTCATGTATTTATTAGCCAAACTTTAAGCTCCACTCGATCTTACAACCAAACCTCGCATTTGCTCATATACCTTACAATTGAAGATAAAATATGTACTATTCTTAACTAAATTAGTTCATGTAATGATTGAGGCTTTGCCTAGCTTTTTAGCTTTTAAGATTTTCGGGTGCTGAATTACCGTTGACTCTAATGCTTCTGTAACCCCAAATATCATAATATTAATGCTCATAGAGACTACATCAAAGCCTATACGCGAATCATCACTTTATATCGATTGCTCATTTACTAACCTAACAAATTCATTAGAATTCCTTATTAAAAATTTTCACATTTCAGATGTTTGCTCTAATCTTGTGCAAATAAAACGCAACCTTTTGAGCATAACTGAAACTTTATTATTAATGATAATCATAAGTGGAGCACCTTCCTTATGAATCTTTAGTAGACCATAAGCATTTAATAGTTTATCATGTCTCTAAAACTGTGTGTCCATTTTCCACTTCACCAGTTAAATGGCCGGTAAATAGAATTTAGGTTGCTAAGAAAGATTTTACTTGAAAACCATTAACTATTGGAACTGGTATACAATTGACAAACATGGTGGATAAGATCATGTATTTTGGACAAGATAGATGACTAGGCTACTTTACTATGGTCCTAACGTTGCTGTCATGTCAGCACCTATGTATAGGAGACACGCCAACCCATACATAGGAAGCTATCCTAAGATAAAACAACCTGAAAAGGTTTGTGAATCTCAAAAGGTGAACTGGCTAAAATTATGGCTGACATTCACAAAAAAGGGAAAGTTCTCAAACCAAATGCCTTAGCTAGTTAATGAGATAATAAGCTTGGACGGAAGCGTAGGGAATCAATAAAAATCAACAAAACGGCAGAGAGGCTAAAAGAGGACTTGGGTGTATGAATGTAAATGGTAACTACTTGTGGCTTTTATATATTATTATAAAAAGAGAGCGGGTACATGAAGTACAGTTGAGCAATAGGAGGAGGTTTGACTAGACTCAAGCCTTATTTCCACTCGCATACATCATGACAAACGAGCATTACCTCAAGACAAAATATCTGCAATGAAACGAAATTATATGCGCCAATATTTCAAGATCAAATAATAGGTCAGTGATTTAGAAGAGGATACATTTGTTCGGCCACAATTGTATCACTTCCACCCACCATTTACAGCCACTCCACATGCCATCCACAACCACTATTCTTTTCTGTAGAGATTTTGTCAAAACATAAGAGGGCTAAATAAAAACATGAGATTTCTCATTAAATGAACAAAATTACTCTATAAGATATAGGTATGATTGCCATCGGTAAACTTTCTTGTCATCAAGCTTTGTAAGTTATGGCAAAGTATAGTCTCCTGTTCTGACGAGGTCCGCTACGTAACGGACAAAAGCTCTGCAAGGGTTATTCGTAGAGGATTTGTTAGGATATATCTACAGCCCCTGCTCCAAGATTATTCTCCTTCAGCATTCAGTAAAGCCAATTAACACATCCGATTAATCATCTCTTTAAACGAAATGAAAAGTACTCCGGCATTAAAATTCATCGAATTGAAATTTGATCAGATAAATTATAAATTACTAAATACTCTAATGACTTAAAATGAATTAGCTTAGAGGCTAAAACCCACAAGGTGGGAATGTGTAGAATGGTATGCAAGTCTTGATTTACTATTCATGTTTACATATATCTCATAGAAACAGGCCTCTATGGTTCCCATGGTGAGCTCAGCACGAGTGCGGAATAACTTTGAAGCTAAACTGATCCAAAATAATTATATAGCACGACTGATCCTCCTTACGATAGAAACCACTCACACCATATTAAAAGTCCTCATATGACCATATATTTGGATTACTTATAGAATCTAAATTTTGCGCTCTTTTAGCCAATTTCATATTAGCGATCTAGAAAAGACGATGTCTTATGTATTTCTAAACATTATTTAAAATAGCCTTAATTGAGGCACCTACCCTAAGAATTGTTGGGCAGGTCTTAAACGTTTGTCGTATAGCATGACGCTTGAGAATTTGGATAAGTGTCCGCTTATCAAATTTTGCGATATCTCTAAGTAATCTGTCGGCCTAGATTTTATGGCCCGCATTTTGGCCTTAGTCATAATATTGTTCGATTCATAATCATTTAGGCAGGGGGAGCAGGAACAACCGATAAGTAAGAGAAGGAGGTTTTAATATCCCCGAATATAGTATGGGGCTGTCAGTCTTTAAATGAGTTAGGAGAATAACATACACACGATACACATATAACCACACATCCAAATAAGCGTAAGCTCTGCACATCAAAATACTAGATTAGTTATGGCCGCATTAACACATTTTCCATGAATTAACTTCGATCACCTGGAAGAATTTAGTGTAAGCACGAGGAAACTAAACAACTCTTGTGATTATACATTAGCATAGCAAACTTAGATACACAAATAAATGCAAATATATCCAAACATCTTTTTTTGGTGTTTTGTTTTCGCTCTAAGAATGCTATTATTATGAAGGAGAAAAGTTCAACAGTAAAAGCAAAAATGTTTTATCTAAGCAACTGTCTTCTCTGATATAAATTAAATAAGAGGAATATTTTGTCCTAAAAATTAATTTGCTTGTATATTATTTAAGAGTAATTGGCTACATGTGTTGTTTTGACTATCGCAAAGCGATATCCCACAGGCTCGCAGTTTCTTTGACCTCGTTTCCCTCGCTTTCCTTGCCCATTCATCATGCTACCTCATTTATTTGCCCTTTCACCTACTTTTGTTCGTCAAACTAAGTAATTTAAATGTCTTACAAATTTTACTTATCAGATTCGTACGTTTTCTGAGCACTCTACCGGAATATCTTAATCGCCGTCAGATAGATCTCACACAAAAACTAAAAGGCAATAGTTAATTTTGGTTAAACCTTTTTGTAGATGGTAATCTATCTGATAATGAAAAATTTTCACTTATTGTCAAGGAGGGAGCTTATCTACGCTTCTCTGACACTAAATATAAAATGAGCTATTTTGATAAGCTCTGGAGTACTCTTGCAGCTGGTATTTCCTGCTTAGCGTTTTATATTTTAAGATACACTCACTCCTTCTTTGTTGGGTGCATTTTTATACTCCAAATCCCGTGCTAATGTTGACATCGATAGGAGTAAAACACTCGAGGACATTCAAGAAATGGGATTACAAATGGACTCAAGGGTCTACGCATTTTTTATCCAAGAAGCCTGTCACGAAGGAAACATACAGGAAGCAGGAACTTATCTGAAGTTAATGACTTCGGCCGGCCTTAAGCCAACCAAGCCTATTTTTGAGTCAATACTCTGTGGCTACGCTAAATTGGGGTAAGCATTATTCATTTTTATCTTTTTTTCGCGAGACCTCTGACAAATCATGCTTCATCATCTTCAGTTTATCGAGTCAAGTGGAATCCACAAAAGAGCTTATGTCAAAACTTGGCTATTGGCCAAGTTCTTATGGCTACGCCAAATTAATGGCTGCATTTGCGGAAATTGGAGAAGGCGAACAAGTTCTCGATCTGCTTAATCAAGCCTCAGACCTTAATATGATTACGAAACCTGATCCCGATCAAAAGTATTCTTATGAAGACTCATCGGATATATCCAGCTAT